GGGCGCAGCAGCCTCTTCCCGCCCCCCCGCCCGCACTCGGGGCCCAGCCTCCCTTGGCAGGGTCGAGCTCACACCCTGGGCAAGAGGGATCCTGGGGCCACTTCAGTGGCCTAGAAAGGTGTTATAAGGCAGAGGGAGACATTATTCACCTTAACCTCTAAGGACATGAGGAGAAGCAATGAGCCTACATTGCAGCCAAAGGGCGCAGCAGCCTCTTCCCGCCCCCCCGCCCGCACTCGGGGCCCAGCCTCCCTTGGCAGGGTCGAGCTCACACCCTGGGCAAGAGGGATCCTGGGGCCACTTCAGTGGCCTAGAAAGGTGTTATAAGGCAGAGGGAGACATTATTCACCTTAACCTCTAAGGACATGAGGAGAAGCAATGAGCCTACATTGCAGCCAAAGGACTTAAGTTGGGTGTTTGGGGGGAAAAAAGTCCTGTCAGAGGTTAAGCACTGGAATAAATTGCCTAGGGAGATTGTGGAATCTTCATTATTGGACATTTTTAAGAGCAGCTGAGACAAACACCTGTCAGGGAGGATCTAGATAGTGCGTGATGTTGTCATGAGTAAGGGGCCTGCACTAGATGACCTCTGAAGGTCTCTTCTAGACCTGTGATTCCATGATGGGGATTAGAGCTGAGCCCAAGTGACAAGGGATTGTCCGGCAAAGGGAGGGAATTCTGTAATAGGCCTTATGCCACTAGAGAGAAAAACAAAACTCTCACCACTAAGCACCTGATCACTTTATGCCATTTCCCTAAGGACTTTATGTTAAACACTCTCATTTTTGACCCCTGGTTTCCCCTTACTTCAGACCCACTACTGCTGCTCCGGCCTATCAGTGGCCAATTTCCAACATATAGGATTGGGCCCTTCAGGAGATGCTTGAGTTCAGGATCACATCTAAGGGGCTTATGCATTTTTCCCTGGTCACAGACAGAGATGAACTCTACCTAACCACCTTTTATTGATGCTAAAAGCAGAAACTCCTAAGCTGTCAGGGCAGTTTTAGGCCCTGTGTTGCAATGGCCAACCCACACAGCAATTTGCAGGATTGGGATCATTATGTATAGAGGTGTCAAAGACAGACTGGAAGTGTATCCTGTATCTCAGAAATACCAGTTGCATTTTACAAAGCAGCCAAAATAGGTCTCTGATTTTTCAGGTTTTTTCATTTAAAAAAAATATCTCTATATTTTTTTTATTCTGTTTAAAACATATTCTGCAATTTTTGAAATTTTATTTGGGTTTATTAGTTACAAATTCTACTCCTCCCTTTGAACTTTCTCCTTTTTTAGAAATAATTTTGATAATATTTCAGATATATTTTGAATGTTAAAAACTATTGATACATCCTCTAATATTGTTTTAAAAGATATTTCTTCTGTAAGAGACGTATAATTGAAATACACAAAAAGGGAGAGATTTCTAATGCTGTCTTAAATTCCATTCTAATGGAAGGAATTTGCCTCCAAACCCAGTGAGATTTGGCAGCTGTAATAGTTTTGAAAGTTGTTAGGTTTTAATATGCTCTGCTTTTGCAGCTTGTGTTTTATTTTTCCTCTGAAGAGCTTATTGCATTAAAGTCAATGATTTATTATTGTTAGCTTATGTTTTACTTAGTTTTACCATTAGGTAACATACAAAAGGCCAGATTGACAATTACAACATGGAAGAATAACAGCATCCAGTAAATTTTCTGTTTCCCCAACCCCCCGAATAACAGCATCCAGTAAATTTTCTGTTTCCCCCCCTCATTGAAAATCTGCAGCATACTGTTTCCTTAAAAAGGTGCTCCTCTTACTTTTGTAACTTTGAGCAAACCAAAAACATACCCACTGCAATAGCTAGTTACCTGAAACATACATCTTAAGAAACTGCACAAGAGAATGGTAGCAGTGAAATTACATTCCTGCCTGAGCATTTTTAATCATATCCTGACTTTGGAAAATTACAATTACTGCCAGAGAAACATCATCTAGTGGAATCAGCAAGCCAATGGTTGCTGAAGAGACTGGCTGATAGGATTTCACAAAGGAGATAAACAGTTGATCCTTCCCAGCATGACCCTCAAGGAGGCTGCCTCCTATATGTGATCAAAGACAACGTATTATACAGAATATGGATGTGGTTCAGTAGCAAGGGCATAAAAAGAAAGGGTGGGCGGAGATGGTGTTATTCCTCCTAACTGCTTGCATGAAAGTTTGCTGCTAGTCATTGACTTTGTGAACTCTGAAAACCTAGGAAATAGCAAGGTTGTGCATAGGCATGTGTGCAACTTTACTCATTTCGGAGTTGTCCCATTCAAGTTAATTGAGTAACTGAGATTTGTGACTTTGAAATAATTTAGGGACAAAGGGTAAAATGTTCAAAAGTGCCTAAATCCCATTTTCAGTTGTCAAAGAGTATGTCTACAGTACAGCTGCCTCCCAACCTAGATAGCCAGACACATGCTAACTCTACTTGAAATAATAATAGAGAGGTAGTCGTGTTAGTCTGATCTTGCTAGAACAAAAGGAAAAACTATGTAGCACTTTAAAGATTAACAAGATGGTTTAATAGGTGATGAGCTTTCGTGGGTCAGAGCATGCTAAAAATAGCAGTGTGGACTTTTCAGTACAGGCAAGCCACCTGAAGTCAATCCAAAGGGGTCAGACAGCCTTGTACTCTGAAGGCGCCTGGCTAATGACGTCCCCTGTGCTGCAATGTTCAAACTGCTATTTTTAGCTCACTAGCTTGGGCAGTATTAGCATGTCTGTGTACCTGTGCTCAGAGGCATGTTTCCAGTTGCAGTGTAGACACACTGTTAGGCACTTAGCAGCATAAAGATTGAAATTCCTAAATAACAGATGCTTCAAAGGTATTTAACCACCTTCAGACATACATAGGCACCAAGTGGAATTTTCAATCATCAGTTTTACTTTCTCATTTGTGTACACAGGTAGAATGTTGTCATCATTTTGTTCACAGTAAGGAAGTGTTAAAATCCAAACTTGTTTCTCTTGAAGTAAAAACAAAAATGTTTCTATTATGTTATACACCCTCCTGCATACTGTTTATTGAAGAGAAAGAATATTTCTCTGGCATTTATAGGTAAGCAAGCAGGATCTGAAGGAATACTTCCCTTATAGCTAGCTAGAAGGGGGGAGAGACCATAGGTGTGTCTATGTAAATACAGTTTGCTCTTGCTATGCTTAGATTTGTAAGTCAGCAGACGGAGTGGTGTTTTGTTCATTGTAATCAACTTACTTGATGACCCAACACTAGCTATGTTTGTATTAAATCCAGGGTTAGCTGAAAAATGGTTTCCAATGTTTGTAATTTTTGTGGAAATACAGAAAAACAGGATTGTGCTCAATCTGTTCAAATGAAAGAGCTCACAGTTAGCAAAAAGAACATTGCTAAGCAGGGACTCAGCTTTCTGTGATCTATGAGAATAAGAGGAGGTGAAGAAAAGTGGTGGAAGGTTTTGTGTTTGGACTAATGCGATCTAGTCTCTCTTCAAAGAACAGAGCTCAAAAGGCATAATTATGAGCTTTTTTCTTATGTTAATTATTTTGGAGCTGTGTTTTTTCTACCCTGCTTGCTAAGAGTTGAAATCACTGGGAGCTGAAATCTTTTGAGATGTGATGAGCAGAAGTCATAACCAAGAGGTGGACAGTAATGAGCAGGCGGGAGTGAATAAGATGCCTCTTTACCTCCTCCCCCAGGATGGGAGGTGAACTCTGCAGGTTCACCTCTGAACTTCGGGTCTGCAATGATCAAAGGCACCAACAGTGAGTAGGGTACAGAGAAGAGCTGGGCATGTGAAAAGGATATTTAGATTGCTGGACTAGAGGAAAAGGGACACTACCCAACCTACTTGGGTGGGACTGTTACTCATGGTTTATGTTTATGAACTCTGTGGTGTTTTCCCAAATTAATACCAAGTTACTTCCCTCTGTTTTATTAAAAGTTTATTTTCTACACTCAGACTCCGTGCTTGTGAGTGCGGAAGTAGTGCCTCCCAGAGGCACCCATGGGTGGTATATGAATTTCCCAGGTTACTGTATGGGGGCTTGAGTCAGTTCAGTGTAGGATTATTGGAAAGTAACCCTTAGATATTTAACCTGGCCCTGGAAAAAGCATTACAG